ATTTCTTTAATTTTATTCAACAGTGATTCATTTTACTCCCCAACAGACTAAAGAGCCGACTGATACTAGGTCTCTGATGCTCAGAGGACTCCCTATCATTCATTTGGTAACAAACCTGCAGATTTCTACAAAGTATGCTTTGTAAGTAACCTCGGTTTTCTCTCAGAATATCTAAAAGGACATAAAAACATAATCATTTCACCATTAATTGATAGTTCCTGTGTTTTATAAAACCTCTGAAAATAAAACCTATTATTATGATAGCTCTTTTAGCCACTTTGGGTGATCTGTTTGCTTAAAGGGTTAGTTATTTGCTCACTTGCTCACCCTCATGTCGTTACAAACCCTTTGGACTCAAGTTTTAAGAGTTAATTTTTGAAATACAATTTGTTCACCAGTTCACCCAAAAATTACATTTTAAAGTAAAATTTAAACTTTAAAGATTTTTAGCTGAAACTGTGGTCCTTGGATTGATATAAAACAGTCAATGGAAACTGTCATTTTTGATAGTTAAAAAAACATGCACAGGCAGAACAAAATGAATACCTGTGGATCCTGACCATGCATTGAGGTCTTACGAAGTAAAACAATTGGTCTGAGAAACATCCACAACCTCTGCAAACGGTCCTGAGCGCATTCACGACAGTCTGGAGCGTGAGTTTCCTGTCGCATATAATAATGTATGCGCAGGAGCAAACTCACATGAGCAATCTTCCTGAAGTTGATTGCACAAGCAAATGATTTGTAATTTTTATAAAGGTTGTGGGATCCAAGATAAGTGCACGCCGGTACCATTTTGATGATGACATTTGTAAACATGCTCAGGACTGTTTGCGGGGCTGTGGATTAAAGGTAATAATGCTGTAAATAATGTTCAGTTTCTTGCACAGACTGATTGTTTTGCTTCATAAGACCTCAATGTATCGTCAGGAGACACGGGTATTAATTTTGTTTAGCCTGTTTTTTGTTTGTTTGTTTTTTTTACTCCCAAGTGATGGTAACCATTGAATGAATCGCCAAAGACCACAGTTACAGCTAATAATCTCTTAAGGTTCTACTGAAGAAAAACTCTACACCTTGGATGGCCTGAGGATGTGCATTGTAGATATCTCGATTGTATATTATGACTAGTCAAAATAACATTGTAGATATCTTCAATGCATATAATGACTAGTCATAATCACATTGTAGATATCCTAATTCCAATAACGACGAGTCAAAATTGCAGAATAGATATCTGGAATTGGAATTTTGACTAGTCAAAGCTAAATTATGACTAGTACAGCAAGGAGTTTTTAATGCTAAAACGACTTGCCATAGCCGTCGCCATCTTGGCAGCGGGTCACTCCCGGATAATCGAAGATGGGCAAAGAGGCGGGAGCTGGTTGTTGAAACCACGCCCACCTAGCTCGATGGTGGTGACAGCAGTGGCAATCCACCTGTCACTCAAGTGGCCACGCCCTTAATTATGCAGAAATTTAAGGCTTAATGTACTTTAAATGGATGAGTTATAAAAAAATTCACCCCCCTCACAGTTGTCATGAAGGGCAAAATTAGCTATATAGACCAAAATCATTTTTTGAACCAGGCTGTAAACATGTTTTTTTTTCTGCTGTAAAGTTAGGCATTTTAACCTGGGGAGTCTATGGGATTGACTCCCTTTTGCAGCCAGCCTCTAGCGGTCAGTTGACGAATTACAGTTTAAGTTACTTCCTTGTTGGCTTCACCAGAGAGCGCGGGAGGTTGCTGCTCGGTCTTGACGCAGATATGACGACACGACAGACATGATATTCAGCGCTGAGAACAAGCATCGTACAGATTATGCAATTCACACTTAAGCCTAGAGCGAATGAAACGCCATCTAATTTTACAGTTTTGCATTAGA